CATATAAATAAAATTAGTTCATATTTTGTAACATACAGGGCCTCTGGGATTTGACATTTCTCTCCTAGCCAAGGCCTGGCATAGCAGGAGAATCTTGCCTCTCGGTTCCACCACCATCCCAAGCTCATTTTTTGAGGACATAAAAGAGGACCTCCTTAGTGGCTTGAGGAATGCGCTGCCCCAAGCCAGGATGGCCCCTTCTCTCTTGTCCAGTGGTTCCCAACCTTTGGTCCCCAGATGTTCTTGGACTACAACTCCCAGAAATCCTGGCCAGCATGCCTACAGCTGAAGACTTCTGGGAGTTTAAGTCCAAGAATGTCTGGGGACCCAAGGTTGGGAATCATAGTCTGTGTCCTTCCATCATCAGTCAAAGACCTCCCTCTTCAGGCAGGCTTTTATGTTGCCTCGGGACGGCTGGTTTTGAACTTACAGATTTGTACATGTTATAAAATTGTTTTTAATCTTAATAGTTTTAAATATAATATTTTATAGGATTTTAAAACGGCGTTTGTTTTATACTTTTACCTGTTCTGAGCTTTCTTGGCTCCCTTGTGGGGTGAAAGTCAGCATATAAATAAAATAAAACATGCAACCTCTGTGAATTCCTGCAGAGTTTCTGGAAAACACCATGAAACCAACATCATCAGCTTTTTATCTGCAATGATTTATTAGTTCAAGAGGGCAGGAGAACATCCCGTCAGCCCACCTCTACCCTGAAATGAAGGAAAAGAAAGAAAACACATAAGAACCAACTCCATTCCCACTGTTATCAATTTTTCTCTCCAGGAATCGCTGGGATAGTTTGACTTACAGAAGGAACATTCCTTGCTTTGCCATGACCTCTGACTTTACAGCCCTCCTGTAGCACATCAGGGCTCCATGGCTTCCATTCACAACCTTTTAAAGTGTGTTGGGAAATAAACCCTCTAAACTGAAATAACATTATGGTGTACCCTCGGTAAAATAACACATACTGTCCCAAAGCCATATATAATGCACGTAATGTGTTTCTCCGTGTCCTCAAGGTTCTAAAGCAAACCCAAATAATAGATTACTGGGCAACTGTGCATTAAACTGCAGAAGCCTCTGTGCTGCAAGGTCAGAAGACCTGCAGTCGTAAGATCGAATCCACATGACGGAGGGAGCTCCCATCGCTTATCCCAACTCTCGCCAACCTAGCAGTTCGAAAGCATGCAAATGCAAGTACATAAATAGGTACCACCACAGTGGGAAGGTAACAGCGTTCCGTGTCTAGTCGCGCTGGCCACATAACCACGGAATATTGTCTTAAACGCTAGCTCTATGGGTTGGAAACGGAGATGAGCACCGCCCCCTAGAGTTGGAAAGGACTGGACAAATTGTCAAGGGGAACCTTAACCTAGCACTCACAAATCCTCTGCAGGTACGCCTTAAGCTGTCTTGTGTATGTTTCTGTGCATTGCTCGTACATTCACATAGTGACTGGAGAGGAAACTTAGCCTCTTGTTTAAAATACTGACATTCAAAGTAAGCTAGAAAATAGATCAGCAAAGCTAATTTAATTAAGTTAATAAACTATGGCCGTTCATTTCATCTGCTGGCATAACTCCATCAGCATCAATTTCAGCAGAGAATTACTGCAAACTAAGAAGGGAGCAGAGGCATTTGCTATTGCACGGAAATTGTGTGACTCAGCACACAATCCCAAATGCCTACACTGGCTTCTAAAGTTGGAGAAATTTCCCACTTAAATTTAGTCCAGTTGAGTCATCCGGGTTGATGTACGTAAAAGGATTCCAGCCTGTATGGAATCAATTGCCTTGAAGTATCCCTTGATGCTGTGGTTCCTATGTGGTGTTGGACTATCCGGAGACCAGGGTTCGAATCCATGGAAACTGACTGGGGGGAGTGGAACTGATAAAACCACCCAAATATCTCACTTATCTTGAAAGCCCTGCGAGGCTGCTTTAAATCGCTTCGGACTTGACAGCATGTAACAATATCTTGGCAGCCAGGGGCAAAGAATGTTTAGCCAAAGGGTCAAATTTGGCTCATCTGGTAACCAATGTGACTGAAATGATTTAAGATAGCCACACACTTAAAAATGAGCATTTTGATCAATGCATGGTATCACTTTATATTTATCTATTAGCTTAGGCCTCCTTCGGTCTCGAGAGACTATGGTAACGTGCTCTGTATGGAGGACTTGGAACAGCATCTAGTGTGGCTGAGAAGGCCAGTTCAAGAGTGACAATCCCTTCCACACTGAAGACAAATGCAATCTGTCCCCTGTCCAGCTCCCTGGTTTTGCTGGTTTCGTGACTGCCTCTAAGCCTTGGCCTGCCGGACAAGGGTCTCTTCAAATTGGGAGTGGTCATGATGCACCGCCTGCCTCCAAGCTGAATGCCCAGATATCAGAGTTTCCCATCTGTTGAGGTCCATTCCTAAGGCCTTCAGATCCTGCTCTCCAGATATCTTTGTATTGCAGCTGTGGTCTTCCTCTGGGTTGATTTCCCTGAACTTATTCTCTATACAGGAGATCTTTTGGAATCTGACCATCAGCCATTCTCATGACATGCCCAAGCCAATGTAGATGTCAACATATATTTATCTATGCCTGGTATAAAAGCTTGTAATTTCTTTATATACAGCTATTCACATTGACTTTCAAAAAGTGGTGTTTTAGAATTGGTTATAATAGCTACAACAGGAATGAGGAATCTGGGGCTTTCCAGATGTTGAACGGCTGGATAGCTCAGTGGTTTAGGCATCGGGTTGGGAGTTTGATTCCTCACTATGCTTCTTTAACAGGGTCTGGACTCAGTGATCCTTCGGATCCTTTTCAGCTCTGCATTTCTCAGAATATTACATTATTATTATTCATACCAGGCACAGTCAATCAAAATTATACAAACATTGACTGGCATTATCTAACAGATAGAGGTTTTAACCAAAAATGTAAGTATCTGTTAAATATTGGCACAATACGTATGCTGTTCCTAATATTGCTCTTTTTTGGTCGCTCTGATGGTGTTATTTCTGATATCTGCAATTGCTTATAGCACTGTGTTAAAATCCTTAATATTGTTCCTAAAGCCCCAATGACTAAGGGGACCATTGAAGTGTGTTTCATCCACAAGCGAGATGTTTCAATGGCCAGGTGACTGCATAGCTCTCAACCTCACTGAAGCATGCAAGGCCTGTGCCCGTTGTTGTTGTTATGATGTTGGCTGTTCCTCTACTCCCACAGCGCTCTGAATTCCTGATGGCTTGGTGTTCTACACCCCCACATTGCAAACACGCATCCTATATATCAGTGATGGGGAACCTTTCTGAGCCCGAACTGCAACCCAAAATCGACTTATTTATTTCAAAGTGCCAATACTGCAATTAAAACCCAAATGCTGAGGTTTTGGTTTAGAAAAAACAACTGCTCATGCACTGCAAGGGTTAAATGCTTGTTCCCCCCCCCCATGGGGGGTATTAACAAAGAAATACTTACCGGTCTTCCAGTCCCCCATTGCACCCCTCTGCTGGACCACTGCACCAGCAGAGGGGAGTGTCAAAATCCAGGATCGTAGGATGGGTAAGTATTTCTCTATGGTGACTTATGGCTCGGGTGCCCACAGAGAGGGCTTTGCGTGCCAGCTTTGGCACATGTGCCATAGGTTCGCCATCACTGCTATGTATGCTATACAGAGTATATTTTTAAACTACCTTGTCTAGAGAAAATGGATTGAATCTGCAGCCTGCCGCAGCATACGATGCCAAGCCCTACAGCAGTTCAAAATGGCACCCAATCTGAGTTTTTCTCTGCTCTGGTATTACAGAGAACATTGCAGTTGGGTGCAGTACAGGACCCCCCCCTTCCCCCCCATGTTCCCCTTCCTAATGCTCCCATATGCCACCCTCCTTTGATCACGGTTGTGTTTTCAGTTTTTTTTCCTCCTTTGCACTTCTGATCACGCACGTGGCTATGAAAGCCCTTTAAAAAAAAAAACCAAAACTGTAATTAAAACTGTACCTCCAGCACGGCACATAAACACTTTTAAAATAAAAAATAAAAATGAAGAGGGAGCAAAGCATGTTGCTCCCATCATGGGTTGTTGCAGCAGCCCCCCAAACACCCATAGTAACAATATGCACACTAGATTTTATTTTTTTTTAAATGCTGCTATTTGGGTTTGGGTTATCAGTGGGTTTGCAGTGCGCAGCGAATCCACTAAAAATAGTTTCTCCACTTTATTGCAAGGTGTTACTCCAGCCATACATAGGTACATTTTTATGGAACAGGAAATTTTTTTTCTGTTCCGACTCTGCATGTCAGCGGGCATACCCACAATATATTATTCCACGCCGGATAACTTGGTTTGTTTTCTGTTCTTGCTATATTGTTGCATATGTTCCATTTTGGTCATTTCTATTTCTGTCCTTCCTTTAAAATTAGAATAAAACCGATTGCATCACTGGAGCAGAAAAAAAACCCATGTGCAGTGCCTAAAAATACCAGCAACAAGTACTTTTGCTCCGTCAGTGAATTAGCATGAAACGGCTACTTCTGCCTGAAGGAAGGGTGCCTTTTCTTTGAAAAACCTAAATTTTCCAGAGCAGAGAGGGCTGAAGGAAGGGTGCCTTTTCTTTGAAAAAAAAAACCCTACATTTTCCAGAGCAGAGAGGCGTCTTTAATATATCAGAGCGAATGATTCTCCAAGTGGCAGAGGTAGAAAACACAAATTTTTCAAATGCATTTTTTCTTGAAATGGCTTCACGTGCTTGTTTCATATGAGGCCAAACATCCCCATCTACTGGTGTTCAACAGAACAGCTGAAACCCACACCATTCAATGTGTGGAACCAATAAATAAATAAATACAGGAAGCAGCACAGTTTCCAATAAACCCTCTCGGCCACACGCCTACACCAGATCTGTGCTGCCTACTCATCAAGCCACATGTCTCATCTTCACAGTCTGGATTTTCCTGTTCTCCTTTTAGGGTGGTTTATTACTGTTAAACCTTTTTCGGAGCTGCATAATTAGGCTTGAAGTACTGGTTTCAAAATGTTTCGTAAATCCTGGGAGTGGATGGGTTTGAAATGCTTCACGTCAAGGCATCGGCCTCCTCCGTCCAGCCAATTTCGTTGTTTACAGAAGTGGCTGGACATGCCGAGCTACAGAATAAAGGTAAAGGTAAAGGTTCCCCTTGACAATTTTTGTCCAGTCGTGTCCGACTCTAGGGGGCGGTGCTCATCCCCGTTTCCAAGCCATAGAGCCAGTGTTTTGTCTGAAGACAATCTTCCGTGGTGACATGGCCAGTGCGACTTAGACACGGAACGCTGTTACCTTCCCACCGAGGTGGTCCCTATTTATCTACTTGCATTTGCATGCTTTCGAACCGCTAGGTTGGCGGGAGCTGGGACAAGCGATGGGAGCTCACTCCGTTGCGTGGATTCGATCTTACGACTGCTTGGTCTTCTGACCCTGCAGCACAGGCTGCTGCGGTTTAGCCCACAGCGCCACCACATGCCAATAAAGTTACCAGGTCCAACTCTCTGCTCAATGTCAGAATCCAGGGTGCCAAACTATACAGGCACAACGTTTGTTGTTGCTAGAAGAGCAGAAACTCAGGCCTGTGGAAGCAGAGGTTGGGTGTTCGATTCCCCCCTGTGCCTCCTGTGTGTAGAGCCAGCCTGTGTAGCCTTGGGCAAGCTGCAAAGTCCCAGGGCTGCCCGCAGATGAAGGGAATAAACCACCTCTGAGTCCTGTCTACCTAGGAAATTCTGAGAAGGCTCACCATAAATCAGTATTGACTCGACAGCATACAATCATCATCATTATTAAACCGCAGCGCCATCCTCAGCACAGAAATGAAGCAATTTGATTTTTTTGGTGCCCGGATGATAGCAATGCTTTTAATTAGGAGCAAGCCCTTGTTTTGAATGATGACACGTTTGAGTTTTGAATTAAAATACCTCTCTCCCAAAGGCAGAAGAAAGGTGGGTTCTGTCCAGGTGTGGCTAACGGTGGATGGGGAGATTTTAAAGCTTGAAAATCTGTACAAGAAACTTAATCTGAACAGACCGTCGAACACAGGAAAAATTGAACAAGAGGACCAGAGGCCACCTTAAAACCTGCTGCTCCAGTCCAGCTAAGGGAACAGTCTTACCTTCAAAACATCCCAGCAAGGAATGAACCACCTTGCAGGTAACAGGAGTGACCAACTGAAAGAACCAGGAGGGAAAAGGGGGCGGGATGGGTAGAAGGCCAGGGCTGGTTGACTGGAAACTTGAGGATGACATCTCAACCTTGCATGACCGGTCTGACTTGTTCTTGCTCTTCTCTAAAGAAGCAGGACAGCGGCTGCTTGGAAAGAAGAACTACTCAAAAGAAACTTGAAGTAAAAAAATAAACACTGACAACCCCCCCTCCCCGAAAAATTGCAGTTCTACAAAGCAGGAAGAAAACTTGATTTGAGTTTTGGCACAGCGGCTGACCTATTTACGTCTTTCTTGCCTCCTACACCAATCTCTGTCCTGGTTCCTTGAGGGCTCGTCCCTTCCTGAGAATGCTGCACCTGTTGAATTACGGCTTGGCCACACCTCCCCCAGATGTGACAGGATAAAGTGGGAACTCCAGTCCAAGGTGAACTCATAGAGGTCAAGCTAACCAATTTTAAAAATAAAATCTCAGCATTACCTTTGTGTGCTTTTAGGTGGATGCTTATTCTGAAATAATTATAAAAATGTGCTTTAATTTACTGTTGGTCTGGGTGTTTGCTTTTTTGAATGAAATATCTCCCATGTGAAACCACTCCCCCTTTTCTCCTCCTGTTTCCGCGTTCACTTTCTCCCTTCATTCCTCAGATTCAATATTTTCTCCCTGTTTCAAAACTCCTTCTGTGCTTTTCAAGGTGGCAGGATAGCTTAGCGGTTTCGGTATCTGGCTGTGGAGCCAGAGGTTGGGAGTTCAATTCCCCACTGTGCCTCCTGGAAGCAGGGCCAGCCTGTGTGGCCTTGGGCAAGCTGCACAGTCCCACAGCGCCCCTAGAGGAAGGAAAGGGTAAGTATTCTCTACCTGGAAACCCCTGAAAAGAATCACCTTACGTGACTTGCTGGCTCACTATTGTTGTTGTTGTTGTTAAAAAAAACCAGGCACAGTCAAAATTGACTGGTATTATATAACAGATATAAGTTTTAACCAAAAACCGAAGTATCTGTTAAATATTGGCACAATATGTGTGCTATACCTAATACTGCTGTTTTTTTGTTGCTCTGATGGGCTTATTTCTGAGAGCTGCAACTGCTGATAACACTTCGTGACATTTCGTAATATTGTTCCCAAAGCCCCAATGACTACGGGGACCACCGAAGTGTGTTTCTTCCAGAGGCGAGATGTTTCAATGGCCAGGTCTCTGTACTTTGTTAGTTTTACCAATTCTTTAATTTTCAACTCTGCCATCCCCTGGAATGGCAATGTCAATGATCTGGACATTTCTTCGTTCTTTTACTACTGTGCCTGCTGTGTTACGCTCAAGCTCACTGAAAGACAGGCAAGATAAAATTGTATATAATAATATACAATCTGACTGAATGTGCTTTTGGGAGCTCGATATCTCTGCTCACAGGGGGTATCCTGTGAGCAGAGCCAGCCTGGGTGGCCTTGGGCCATCTGCACAGTCCCAGGGCACTCCCAGAACAAAGGGAATGGTAAACCACTTCTGAGTATTGTCTACTTGGAAAACCCTAAAAAAGGTCACCATAATTCAGAACTGACAACAGCACATCATCATCATCATCATTTTTAAACTACAAGGCTTATCATCTCCTACAACGTGGCAGAGGATAATGAGCACAGTAGTCTGATGCGTCCTCATCCTCAGAAGGTAAAGTACAAAATAAAAGATACAACAAGAGGAGCAACACTGAGGTATGTTCCATGCACAAGGTTTTTGGCTGCCAGATCTCTGCATTTCTGTTAATTTTTCCAATTCTTTCGTTTCAACCAGGGGATGCCAGAGCTGAAGCTAAAGAATTGGGAAAAAAAACGATGCCAGAGTTGAAGCTAAAGAATTGGGAAAAAAAAACCAACAAAATGCAGAGATCTGGCCACTGAAACATCTCGCTTGTGGATGAAACACACTTCAGCGGTCCCCGTAGTCATTGGGGCTTTGGGAACAATATCAAGAAATTTCACACAGTACTATAAGCAGTTGCAGATCTCAGAAACCACACCATCAAAAAACAGCAATATTAGGAACAGTAGACATACTGTATTGCACCCATAGTTAACAGATACTTAGGTTTTTTGATTAAAACTTGTATCTGTTACCATGTTTCTCCAAAAATAAGACAGGGTCTTATATTAATTTTTGCTCTAAAAAACACATTAAGGCTTATATTTCAGGGGATGTTTATTTATTTTTTTGCATGTACAACCATCTACATTTACTCAAAGACAGGCATATCATCTTCTTCTGGTTGCTGCAGAAGGGTGGAGGGTGGGTTTTCACTTCATTGGGGCTTATTTTTTGGGGGTAGGGCTTCTTTGACGAGCATCCTAAAAAACCATACTAAGGCTTATTTTCAGGTGAGGTCTTTTTTTCGGGGAAATCGGGTATATAATACAGGGCCAGTCAATGTTCTTATAAGTATGATGGTTTTTGAATGAATGAATAAGTATAAATACTCTCCCAACTTTGCAGTCAGATCCAAGTCTTAACCATACCAAAGGCGAGTTGGAAATGCAGCCTGGGCTTATTTTCGGTTTGAAAGGGATCCCAACGAAACCCCGGCATCTGACGCGCCTCCACGTGGGTTGAGGAGACCTGGACGCCTCCCTTTCCGGCTGTTCCTGCCCCCCCTCCCTCTCTCTGACAAGATGCTAATTTGGGAGCTGGGATTGGGTGGGAGAAGCGGGGGGGGGGAGGAAGGAGCAGGTTTTCCAGCTGTGGCAGGCGATCGAGATTCCCCATCAGGAGCAGAGCGCGCACACCTTTGGGGAGGATCGACAGGTAGGAAGGGAGGGGGTCGGAGAAGCCCCCTAGTAGCAAAGATCTGGGGGTGGTGGGGGGAAGGTGAGCTCCCTGTCTGTGGAGTTCTGAGGAACACCACGGGAGGGTGGCTTTACACACGCACACGCACACACGCAGGCACGCACACACCCCGCACCAGCAGTATCGCTCACACATCCCTTCTGGACAAGTCCTTGCAGGGCATCCGGGAAGCTCCGCCTCTCGGCCTGCTCGTCGTCTTTCGGGCTTGCCATTCATCCCTCAGGTGTTTTCCTTGCCTAACAACCACTTGTCTCCCTCTTCTATTTCCACACACACACACATACACACACGCACATATATACACACATTCTCCTATTTCAGGAGTGGAAGCTCTTTGTGAGGAAGCCCAGAGGAGCCCAAGGAAGACAGGATCCCCCCCCCCCCCCGGGCCAGGTGGGTTTTGAGGGCTGGTGGCTTGGGTGAGCTGCACAAGAAAGTGTGGGTGGGTGTGAAAAATAGTTTTCTTCTTCTTCTTTTTTCTTCTTCACTGCAGTTCCTTCCTGGATTGGAGAGCCCAGCGAGAGAGGGAGGGACCTGAAGCGGTGTGTAAACCGAGGAAGCAGCAAAGGCTTCGGGTTTTGTGGAGGTGCTGCTGTGCCAGAAGATTTCGGGATCCTTCTGGGAACCAGCCAGGACCGCTGTTAGAGGCTCTGTTTTACTTCTCCATCACCTTCCTTTCTCTCCCTTTTTTCCTTTCTCGGTGCCTTCTGTCCAAAGAAGATGGAACCCAACTGCTCAGCTCCGGCATGAAGTGATTCAGCAGCTCCTCGGGAAGGCAGGGAGAGCCTGAGAATTTGGGCTGGTGACACCCAACGTTATGGCCCAAGGCGTGGGGACCTCCCGTTGTCCTCTCCTCTGAGAAGTGGGGTGTTCCTCCCACACCACCACAGACTCGGTGGTGGGGCACAGCCCTGAAGTTTTCTTTGTCTCCGAGGGAAGAAGCTTCTTTCCCTGAACCTCCGCTGCGGCACCACCGCTATGTCTGGGACCTTGAAGTTCAACGGGTACATGAAGGTGCGCATTGGCGAGGCGGTGGAACTGCAGCCGACCCGCTGGTCCCTCCGGCACTCGCTTTTCAAGAAGGGCCACCAGCTCCTGGACCCTTACATCACGGTGAGTGTGGACCAAGTCCGGGTGGGACAGACCAGCACCAAGCAGAAGACCAACAAGCCCACCTACAATGAGGAATTCTCCATCCCGGTGACGGACGGATGCCAGCTGGAGTTGGCAGTCTTCCACGGGACCCCCATTGGGTATGACGATTTCGTGGCCCATTGCACGGTCCACTTCCATGAGCTGCTCCAAAGCACTGGCTCGTCTGACAGCTTCGAAGGCTGGGTGAGTAGAGGAGAGAAGGCTCAGGGACTGGGTCTCCCGTGAAAAGTGTGCCTGGCTCTGATGAATGATGCACCTTTGTGTCCTCGTGCGCGGGGAGATGATTGCCTTTTGGGTATTGAATGGCTTACGGAGTGAGTCCAAGTTTGTTTTTAGAAATGTGGGTCATGTAAAGCTTTGGTCTCTGAGAAAAACCCAACCCAAACCAAAACATACCTATACATTAGCTTTTTGGACTGTCTCATGGAGGGGTGGCCAATGTATGGCCCACTAGATCTTTGGGGGCTGGAGGTTCCGGGAGGGGTTCCCTCCAGCTTAATCCAGCTGCCGATGCTGAATTCAGTCGCCAGCCAAAATCTCCTTGGGAGATTCATCAGTGGAATGTGGAAAGGGTAATTTTTGGGGGGACTATATCTTTTAGAAGCCTCCAGCCAGTGTGGCTAGTGGTTATACTGGCTAGGGGATTCAGGCAGCTTTGCTTCCCTCCTCCCACACCTTTTCCATCTCTGGTCATAGAGCCTTGTGGCGCAGTGGTTCAACCACTGTACTGCAGCCAAAACTGTGCTCATGTCCAGGGGCTCAATCCCAGGTAGCCGGCTCAAGGTTCACTCAGCCTTCTATCCTTCCCAGGTCAGTAAAATGAGTACCCAGCTCGCTGGGGGGGGGCAATGTGTAAGCTGCATAATTAACTTGTAAACCGTCCAGAGAGTGTTTGAAGCATTATGGGGCAGTATATAAGCAGCACGCTTTTGGTCATAAACATAGTATGGAGGTTGTGACCATCTAGTCTTTCTCCTTTAACTCATGGTACATTTGCTAAGGTACATTGTATTAGCTCTTATGGCCCGTGACTATTCTAGATTTCCCCACAAATATGTCTGTTGTCATCTAATCTGGAGATAATTGCCAGATCTTGTGGCAGTGAGTTCCGTAAGGTAATTAGGTGGTTCAAAAAGTACTTCCTTTTGTTAATCTTGGACTCAACCCCTACCAGTTTTAGTGTGTGGCCTTTAGTCAAATGTGGCCTTCATAAATGGGTGCCCTCAAGACGTTTTGGACTACGACACCCATAAGCTAGGACATCGCCTATTATCTGTTGTGCTGGGACTGGAAGTTCTAATCCAAAATATCTAGATGGCATCAGTTCAGGGATGCTTTGTCTCAGGTTTATCCGGAGCATCTAAAATTCATAATTTTTACTTAGTCTGGTGCTGAGCTGGTGTCTGAAACACCAAAGGTTGTTATCTCCAGCTTTTGAATTATTCATAACACCCATTACTGTATTTATTTTATTGGAGTGAGGTTAAAAAACTGCGTTTCATGTGAAGCATGCAAAGTCAGATAGATATTGGGGTTTCTAGACAGCAATTTTACATTTATACCACTTTTAAAATGAAAATGTATGAAAGTCACTAAAACTTTGTTGAATTTTTAATTTGACCCTACGTTCAACCTAAGGATGAATTAACTGTTTAGTTACTCCTAGTGTTTTATTTTCATACACAATGAACACTCCTGGTCAGTTCAAAGGCTTGCATATTGGCTTAGGTGGCAGATTTCAGGAAAATATCAGGAAATATTGAATATCAGGAAAAGCTTCTTAACTGTTAGAGCAGTACGACAATGGGAGGGGGTGAGCACTCCAGTGCTAGAAGCATTCCAGAGAAAACTGAACAATTCTCTGCCAGATCTGTTTTGTTTTGGATTCCTGCATTGAGCAGGGGATTGAACTCAATGGCCTTAGAGGCCTCTTCCTACTCAATTGTTCTCTGATTTTTAACAATGCATATATAACAATAAAGCTGTGGATTGGACTCAATGGCCTTAGAGGCCTCTTCCGACTCAATTGTTCTCTGATTCTCTGATTTTTAACAATGCATATATAATAAAGCTGTGGATTTGTGTCTTTCCAGTTATTGATGCATTAATGGGAGCTGCTGGAGGAAGATGCATACCTATTGATTGATCTCTTTAGTAGATTTGTGGGGAAAAGCTTGGAAATGTCCCAGGAGAGATGCCTAGCAATGGGAACTGGGTAGCTCCTAATGCATTTGGCCAGAGGAAGCAACATCACAGCTGGCAATCTCTGTAGAGTGGCCAGACCAGCTGCAAAGGCAGGAAAGTACATCATAATAATCTTAGAACTGTAGAACTGGAAGGGATCCTATAGATCATCAAGTCTGGCCCCTGTCAAGGAGGCATAGCGGGGAATCAAACTCTCAACCTCTGACTGTGCAGCCAGATGCCTTAACCAATGAGCTATCCAGCAGTTCATGATCAGGTGAGCCAGATGCCTTAACCAATGAGCTATCCATGATCAGATATAATTTGCCATGCAAAGGTGAACCATGCTGTACCTGTGCAGGTCCCTCCCGCTGCAACATTACTAAATGGGAACCTTGTTGTCCATTTGTCTGGCAGCCCTTAATGACGAGGGTAGAAGGCCAACATGTGTTAAAACAAGGCTAGGCAGCCTCTGAGCCTAAACCCACATTCAAAAGCTCTCTAGAAGATCAGTTTACACCTCTTGTAAGAGTGACTTGCTTCTCCTCCCATTGTGTGCAAAGTGAGGAGAAAGCATCAGTCCCACTTCATTGTGCATTAGCTGGAACAGTCATGGCTTGTGGATAAAGCAGGGCACCTCCCCACCTCCACCCCACTCTGGTGCATGAGCTATTTATGAGCTTCCAAACAGTTTTCAAGGTCAGCCCCACATAAACTGCTTGACGGTAGTCTAGCCAGCAACTAATTAAGTCATGGATCCCTATGGCCAAATCCATCATCTCTTTGAAAGGACATGGCAGGTGTACCAGCGATTTCTGGGCAAGGCTTTCCAGGAGCAATGGTGCATTTAAGAGCACCTCCAAAGGACCAACCTAATCTTTCAGAAAGAGTGAATCCCCATTGACAGTAGCTTGTAAACCTACTCTCAGGCTGTTTAATTCCCTTCTGTTAACCAGCAAAACTTCAGTTTTGGCTGCACTGAATCTTAATTCACCCTCCCATGCTCGAACATCAAAGTCTACACTGCGTCCAGACGGTGCCTCGGAACTTGAAAAGGAGAGAGGTTGCTAGTTGGAATGGAGGGAAGGTGCGAAATGTACATTTCAGAGGCTGAAGTGAGAGCGGGGGGGGGGGAGGACTTTGTGCTTTGAAAAGGTGTGAATGTCTTATACAGAAATGGAGGTTGCGTTGGCGTTTGCCTGATGAAGCTGGTGGTTATTTTGTTCAAGAGGACCAGTGAAAGGAAGCCATTCTTCACACAATACTCAATTTATTTATGCAGTTGCCATGCAGTTTCTGGGGATGGTGGTGGTGACATTGGACTCATTTTTTTAAAAAAAGACATTTGCTGGAAAATAGAATAGTCGAAAGTATTTTCCTAACAAAGTGGACAGAGATTCTGTATACAACAGGGTGGATAAAGCGCCTTCCCCCAACATTGGAAAAACTATCTTCCTACATGCCTACTTAAAAAAAAACAACAAGAAGGGGCATTTGTGTTCTTCTTGGGGCCCTGAGGGCAATTTTTCTGTACCCTGCTCCTGCTGGTTTTAAGTCTAGTGTTTAAAAAATCCATAATTGATGTCTCATCACTTCTGATTTTGGAAACCATCTCCCCCCAACACACACTCCTGGTTGCAGGGCAAACATGTTGCCAGATTATACATGGAAGGTGTGTGTGTGTGGTCTTTTTAAATTGAAAAAAAATATGGAGGGAGATGTTGGAGTACCAGTCTGGATGCGGCCTCCCGGAAGGTGCTCATCGCTGCTGCTTGTGTACGAAGACAATTATTTGTCACAGCAGAAGAATACTGGAATGTGCTTCCATATGATGCACAGGTAGTTAGTTGCTCACCTGGACAGCTTTCAAAGGGGATGAATGGAGAAGGCGGCGGCTGTTTTGATGGCTATAGCTGGCAGAGCCAGAGGTCACAAGTTTGATTCCCCACGGAGCGTCCCAGGAGAAAGACTATAGCTGGCAGAGCCAGAGGTCACAAGTTCGATTCCCCACGGAGCATCCCCAACGACCCAGCCTATGTAGCCTTGGGCAAGCTGCACCACAGTCCCAGGGTCTCCCTGGAGGCAGGGAATGACAAACCACTTCTGAGTACTCTTTGCCTTAAAAACTCAGGAAAAGGCCTATGTAAATTGGGGTCGTCTTGACAGCAAGCAGTTGTGACCTGGAGGCAGGGAATGACAAACCACTTCTGATTACTCTTTGCCTAAAAAACTCAGGAAAAGGCCTTTGTAAATTGGAGTTGTCTTGACTGTTGTTGATGATGATGGCTATATACCACTTCCAGTATCAGAGAAAATGAATCGAAGGGTGCCATGACACTCGTCTTATGTTTGTTGACTTTCTGGAGTCTTCTGCTCGGCTGCTGAATGAACAGAATGTGGGCTGATGGGTTTGACATCAGGTCCAGCCAGTGTCTCAAAAGAGCCCGGCCATGTGCACATTCGTAGTTACAGACTCTGGAGTCTTTTGGCTGGGCCCTCAAGCTGCTTTGGTGGCCCAACCCCTCCCAGGTCCACCTTTTTCCCCCATAAAAAATAAATAAACAAAAAAGTGGATTGCAGCTGCAGATGGTCTTGGGAATGGCTATTCAGCTTTTGAACAGGACCCAAGTCCTCCTGGCATTATTTAACACCTTGGAAACCTGGTTTCCTAATTTTTTTTCAAAAGTGCAAGAGAACTTATGGCCAGTTTCAGCTTTTCTTTTTTCTTCTTCCATCTGGTGGGGAGGGGGAGCCTGTAAAGTGCCCTAAAAAAGTGCAAGAGGCAGAGAACCGGCCACTGGCGATGTCCAAGTAGTCCCGCTTTGCTTTAAAGAGTAAAAAAAAATCATGTTGCTCAGTGTCCTGTCCTTAGAGGGGAAACGGCACTGTAAATAAACAATGCTTTTCAAATAGAAAACCATTGAAGTGGAGAATGATCGATCATGCCCTGAGGCAGGGGAAAAGAATAAGGGCTCAACCAGACATAGAGTTTGGAAAAT